CTTTTATTGTCCTGCACCTTCACAAATAGTCACCTGCAATCTCACATAGGAGCATCCTTAAGAGAATTCAATAGGCACCATTCAGAGCATCGGAGCACCAAAGCTCCCGGGCCCCTGACATTAGGAGGTAATGTTGCTACTTCTGAATACATAACAATGAAAACAGTCATTGGATTAAATGATTTCCCTACATTATCACCATAAACAATAATTATTTGGCAGCTGCCCTTTGCGAGCGTGGTGCACACTTATGAATAAATCAAGCCTTATTGATTTACTAAGCCAAAATGCTTTCCATTTTGCTCGGCTAATAGGAGCTCTAATCCCTCGCTGCACTTAGTGAGGCTTTAATGTAGTATGTCTCTTAATACTTTTAATATGAAAGATTAGCACTGGTTAGCCCCAGAGCAGGAACACCTCACTCTCAACAGCCAACTGGCCACTGAACCTAGTTGTCTTTGAGTGTGTCCTTGTTAGTGGAGTTCTCTGACCGCTGATGGGAATCACATCACCATGACACGAACTGAGAATGCTTCCCTGCTCATTTTCCTCCCCAACGTCTAACATATTTATGAAGACCTACATTCATTCAAAGCTGAGATCAAAATCGTGCAGTAGAAAAAACATGATACTGTAACTAGGTCTTTGTGTTCCATCAAACTTGCATCTGGATTTGGGGATGTAGCTCAGTTGGCATAGTGTTTGCTCAGCATTCACAAAGCCCTGGGTTCAGTCACTAGCACACCATAAAAACCCTGTATCAAACAATGGATCGATCAAACTGCTTTTTTTTTTCTGATGCAGAGACAACTTATCCTGAACTCAGCAACTTCAACCTGAGAAAGGACCTTTCTTTTCTCCTCCCACTGAACGGTAGGCAAAAGCCCACATACTCCAGGCTGACAACTACCATTTGCTCCCTGGCCACTCATTAGGGGATTCTTAGTTATCCTGATTGAAAAGGGGAGCTAAAGTCTCTAATTGTTGATTCACAAGCATGCTCTATCCTAGATATGTCATGGTTGTTAGTTTTTAACTGTTAACTTGCCAGATCTAGAATCACCAAAAGTGAGAGTCGATTGAGGAATTGTGTAGATCAGGTTGGTCTGTAAACAAGTCTGTGGGGGACTATCCTGGCGTTAACTGGGGAAGACCCATGCTGAATGTAGGTGGCACAATTCACTTGATGGCCTCTGGACTGTGTAAGAGTATTGGAAGCAGGCAAGGATGCGCTAATTGGCTCATGGCTCATGGTTGGATGTGATGCTTTCAGTTCCTGCCTTGACTGTAGCCTGGAATTGTGAGCCAAGTAATCCCTCTCTTCTCCAAGTTGCTTTTGTTAGGATATTTCATCACAGCAACAGAAATAAAACTAGAATATATGCCATTGTCTAACAAGGACGCCAGCATTTTGCTCCTGTGCTTTTCATGGATTTCTAAACTGACATGCATAATCCTAATCCTAAAAAAACTCCATACCTCATTCATAAAATTGTAAAGTAAGCAGTCACACTGTCCTACTTTTCTCCTTTAACTGGAATCACAATGCAGGGAGATTGGGCCAGATAGCTCCCTGGGATTACAATACAGAAGTCCTTACTTCAAAGATGGAGAAGGTTGGGGGACTCAACCACGGAACTAAGTTAATGGTGAACTCCTGAACAATCAGATCCCTAGTCCACTGCAGCATCTTTCTTTACTTTTGATTCCTGGAATCTGTGAGAAGTCTCAGCTGGACTGCAGTGATAGCTTAGTCACTGAAGCTTGCTTCGAAAGCTCCAGAACCCAGCTTGCTATCCCAGTACTAGTGAGGCAGTTCTCCAGGGCTCCCTGGACAGCCAGCCTTGCCTAACCAGAGAGCTCAAGGCCAATTAGACACCCTGTCTAATGAAAAACAACAAAGTGGATAGACCTGAGGAAAGACAGCCAAGCTTGTCCTTTGGTCTACACACACACCCACACACACACACACACACACACACACACACACACACACACCTCAAGTGCACATACAAGCCTCCCATCACCATGGAGCCTCTCAGACAGAAACATTAAGGTCCCGAATTGCAATGCCTTTTAAATTCAACCACAACGAAGATAAAGATCATCCAGGCACAGGTGCCGTATTTATAGTATTAACTCGATAAGAAAACCATACAATAAAATCCCCATTCGAAACAGATTCCCCCAGTCTCTGTAGAACAACCACTGCTTCTGGTTATGAAGCAATAATTATCCCTCCCCACAGAAATCAATAAAACCTCTTGCCCCATGAACCTGCTATTTCCTGACTTTGTCCTCTGAACTAAAGATTCCCAAGTCATATTGATTACACAGTAAATTTTTTTAAGTTCTTTACAAGACAGCACTGAAGAAATTCTCAAGTTAACATCACTCACCATTGTTTGAAAAGACTTCTATCTTTCCATCACATTAATGGTCACCCTTTTTCTAGTTTTTTTTTTTCATTTTTCATTTTCATCTTGTCATTTTCAGGGCGTCTTTGTGTTGTCTAATAGCACACAGTCTACAGGATGCAAATTTGATGGTGTTCCTGAGACTTTGACAACTGCCATATTTTTCTTTCAAGTGAGAGGGGAGCTGATGAATCGACTGTGCCTAGTCTCCCCAGGGACAGCAGGGACCATCCCAAATGAACCCAGAAGCTCTGAGAGCACAAACATTAGAACTTCAGAACTCCATAAGGGGTCATGGAAGCAACAATTGTAAAGTGCAACCACCAGGCTGGGGAGAGAAAGGCAAAATGTCCCAGTGTTATAGGTGTCTGGTGCCAAACACAGGACCCACATAGGAGAGAAATGATGCCTGTATGTTGTTCTCTGACCTCCACACACATACACACAAATAAAATTTTTAAATGTGATTTTTTAAGTCGATTGAGGGTTATAGTAGATGAGAATGGGGAATAACTCTGGAGTGATAAAATCCCCCAGATTTTCATAGTATATGGTAAAAATCACTGAACTTAGAGGGATGGCTTTTATGAAACATGAGCTATATTTTAAAATTATACAGGGCTCCGGCACAGCTCAGTGATAGAGTGTTTGCTTAGTATTCTCAAAGTCCTTGCAACATTAATTAATCAAGTAAGTTACATTAAACACACACATAATTGAGATGTGAGCAACACTAAGGTCCCAATAGGCTTGTTTGTGAGCACAGATCAATTCTGACCTCAGGGACCGGTGGGAGAAGAGGAGGAGGAAGGAGGCAAGTAGTTCCAGGCATAGGCCAGAACAAAAAGGATGCCCCCTCTCTCTTTCTTCTGAGACAATAAGGGGTCATGGTGTCAGCTGAGGTCAAGGCAATGGATTCAACCCTGCCAATGTCACAGAAAGGCAACTCTTGAGTTTCAGGATTTTATGACCCCTCTTTTGCAAGCCATCAATTATGCATAAGAAAGGGACTAAATAAAAGCCACAGACCATTCTCCCCAATCAGAAAAATCAGACCAGTGCTGTGGGAGGAGCAAAAGAGAGAGGAGAGGGGAAGAGAAGAGAAAGAGAAGGGGAGAAGAGGGAAGGAAAGGGGAAAGGACAGAGAGAGGGGGAAGGAGAGGGGAGAGAGGGAAGGGGAAGATGGAAAAGGAGAGGGAAAGAGATTACTTCAAAGGAAGAACAGCCATCTAGGTACAAAGATCATGCAATACCCTTGGGAGACAATAACAAAGCTGTTGGGTACCACTGATACTATGATCATATAATATACTAGAAATCAGAGCCAAATATTTGGTTGGACTCAGTTCTCACAGACCCATAGGAACTTCCTCAATGCCTTCTTCCCAAACAGAAGCCCTCAGTGTCAGCACTTCAGGAAGGTTGAATCTGAGAATACTTAACTGTGGAGACATCCCATGTATTGGAGGAGGCTCAGGGGTGTCTCTGGCTTGGTCTCAGTAAGTATTGGTAGCATCTCCCTCACATCAGGGCCAAAAGAGTACTCCCAGACATTGCCAGATGTCTCCTGGGGGAAAACCTGCTCCAGTAAGGAACCATTGCTTTGTGGTGACTGAATTGATCTCGTGTCTATATAATCAGAAAACACTGCTTTGAATGATGCCAATTCTCATCAGTTTAGCTTTCTTCCTGTTTCATAACCTCAGTCTCCCCACAGTAAGAAAGGCCAAAAACTCAGTGCAGGGCTAATGATGTGGCTCAGTCAATAGAATGTTTGCCATTCATGCAAGAAGCCCTTGGTCAATCCCCAGCACTATATAAATGGGGCAGTAGTGGCAAATGCTGTAATCCTAGCACTGGGAAAGTAGAGGCAGGAGGATCAGAGGCAAGGTCATCAGTCCGGACTAGATAAGACCTTGTCAAAAGTAAGGGAGGGGAAGAGAAAAGAAAGCAAACTTATGGAAGAAGCCTATGTAAGGGGGTTGGAGGAGTAACTCAATGGTTAGGACCATGTACTACTATAGTTCAGGTCCCAGCACCCAAATCAGGTAGCTCACAACCCAATCACCTGTAACTCCAGCTCCAAGGGATCCAATGACCTTTGTTAGGCTCCTGAACTCATGTGCACACAGACACACACACACACACACACACACACACACACACACACACACGTAGAAATAAATTGATTTTAAGAAGTCGGTTCAATATGTCAGTTCTCTAAAATGACAGAAAAGTAAAAGCAACACATCTAATCCCAAGAGTGTCTGTCTCTCTTCCTCTTCCTCTCTCCCTCCCTCTCTCCCTCCCCCCCTTTCTCTCTCTCTCTCTGAGAATTAGTACTGAACCTTTCTTCCTCCTGTGTGACCTGAATGGCTGAAGATCAATAGCTTTTCTAGTAAACAAAACCCACCACCACCTACCCCACAACATCCGCTAGATAAGAAAGCCCCAGACATTTTAAAGAACTGAGAAATCTTTGCACTAAACCCACGCAGGGTTTTCTAGAAGGTTCTCTCAGCAAAGACAGGCATCATGAAGAGTGACCTCTTTGATATCAAAGCCTTCGATATGTGAGCTCACCATCCGGAGGCATCAACACTTTGTTGTTCTGTGTGCACCACCCCACGGGGTGCAGATCTGCTATGATCACGTCACACCAGAAGTCCGCCCTTCGGTCCTCCCCATAACCACAGTAACGCAGAAGCAGCAGCTGTCCACAAGTGGTGATGATCGTGGCCACCCAGTAAGTGTCTGGATTGTTCTTATTGGCCACCTCCAACTTCATTCCCGGCTGGAAGTTACTCTGGATGCTGATTTCCACCTTGAGACATGAGAAACACAAGCAAACCGTGATCACACTAGCCATGTGCCTCAAATGGGTTTGAGAACTATTTAAGTAGAGAGCATTTTAATACAGTACTTCTGCTGCCCTCCCATAGGCATGATTTTAGACAAATGGAACACAAGCCTCCAATGCAAGGCTAAGTCTTCTGGAAGCCACTTTCAAAGGAAAGATAAAATGGATTTTCATAGGTTAAATTCAACAGTTTGTCCCTTCAATATGAAACTAATACTATGAAAAGTGAATAAGCCAGGATTGGTGGTGCACACCTGTCATCTCAGCAGTCTGGAGGTCAAGGCACAAATATCCTAAATTTAGGTCAGCCTGGGTATACAAACAAACTCTGTCTCAAAAACACCAACGGGGAGAAAAAGTGAATGAGAGGTGGAAATGTGGCTCAGCTGGTAGGATGCTTGCCAAGCATACAGGAACTCCTGAATTTGATCCCCAGAACAGCATCATTTAAAAAGGGCGGGAGGCAGAAGGATCAGGAGTCTAGGTCATTTCTTGGCTACATGGTAAGTTTGAGACTAGGCTAAGCTACATGAGACCCTGTATTAAAAAAAAAAAAAAAAAAAAAAAAGTAAGGGCTAGTGTTTTTTAACAAAGGCTCCCAAGAGCTTGAGTTCAATGAACAACATGTCTCAATTGTAGCTACATAGTCTTCCATGTAATCCAATTTTTCTGTGTGCCAGGAGCTGCCACCAGGATGAAAAATAAAAATAAATCTTTCCAGGCTGGATTTCTTAACAATCTAAAGATGTGAGGTACACCATAAGGAGAACTTGAAGAAAGCAATGGGACCATGAATTATTTATCTGTGAAACTGAGACTACTTTTCCTGTCAATCTTCACTCAGGCCTGGGGCCAGTCAACATCTGGAAGGGTAGATGTCTGCACCATCCTTCAGGAATACAGACATCCTGAAAGATGACTGCATGTTCATCCAAGCCTTCACCATTTGGTGGCATCTACTTCAACAGAGAAGGACATGAGAGAAGTGATGAATCAGAGAATAGAGGTGACTTGTTTCTGAAGACATGGCTTCACTGTACAGAAAAGGGGTCAAGTTGTCGATTGTCTTTCTTTCCCAAACTTCCTGAAGAAAATTACCAGGTCATCCCAGGATCTTGCCAGCCTGGCTTCTGCAGGGTCATGATGCTAGCTGTGTAAGCCAAAGAGAGGAATTGCTTTTTCTGACTTGAAAATGGAGTGCCTGGTTTCACTACATACTATAACCATGACCAGAATAAAGCACAGCTTGATGAGGAGAGAGAAGAAAAGAGGGGTGCAATCTTAGAGATATAATAAGGTCTTAAATTATCTTTCAAAAGAACACTTCACTTCTAAGTAGAACTTAATGTGGCTTTCTTACTTCAGCTGAGGAGCCAAAAATAAAGTTAAGAAAGTTGAGTTGATGCTGGGGTAGCTTGATGAGAAAACATGTCTCAGAAGTAAAAATTGTTTTGCTAAAACAATAGTCACATGTTTTAGCTTGGGTTTGGGGAATATCATCTTTTCCATGCTACAGCTATAGAAGCCAGAGCTCACACCTAGGAAAAATCTAGCAAGAACTCATCTTCCTTCTTCTTGGGCTCTGTCCCCTGGTGGACATGCTAGCCAAATACAAGCAGATATTATTAAGGAGAACAACCTTTGTGAGACATACCTCTTCAGAATGTCTATCGTGATTCCTCTCACCCAACTTATCTTCCCTCTGAAGCCTAGAAAACTCTAATGTGACTTTTCAAAATTATAATATCAACCTTTAAAAAAAATCTCATGTAGCTCAGGCTAGCCTCAAGCTGCCTACATAGCCTGAGATTGAACTGCTAATCTTCATGCCTCCACCTTCCCAGTGCTGGAATTACAAAGAAGCACCACAAGACCTGATTTTAGGCCATGCCGGGGATCAAACCTGGGGTTTCGTGCAATTAAGAAAACACTATAAACTGAGCCAAGTCCCCAGTCCCAAATATCACCTCCTTATTAAAAAAATAATACAGTCATTACATCGACCAAAAAGACATTAATGTAACATCTTGCCTAACTCAGTGGTTTTTTATGAGAATCAAGCTGTGGCCAATTTCATGTGCAGCTATCTGTGAAAACCAAACTTCCCCATGTCGCCTTCTCCCTATACCATCTTAGCTGCATTTCCACTTCTCTTTTCATTCTTCTCTTCTGACTGGTTTCTGAATCACCCAACAGATCCCCTTCCCTTCCCTCCCACAGACCAGAAGAGACGCTCAGTGCTTAACGTACATGCCTGAAGGATGAGTGTGGCGCCGCCCTGGTGCCTGTTTCTTCCAAATAGTCTCCCCAGCTAAAGCCGTTTTCCTCCAGGCCAGAACCTTCCTCTGTGGAAACAAAACAAAGCAAGAACATCAAAACTAGGGCAAAGCATGCCTGGGAGACAAACTGATTCAGTGCCTTTAGAGGATATGGCTAGACTCTCTCAAAAGATTCGGTTTGCTGCTGTAGACACACTGAGTTGAAAAAGATAAAGGCGGGAATGGCTCCTTTGGTAAATTGCTTGTTGTCCAAGGAGGAGGACCTGAGTGCAGATATCCAGAACCCACAAAAAAAGCCATGCTGGGTAACACACACAAATACATGTAATCAAAGGGAGACAGAGACAAGGGAATCCCTGGGGCTCACTATCCCAGTCTAGTTAATCAGTGAGCTCCAGATTCAATGACAGAGTTTGCCTAGATAGGTAGATAGGCAGGCAGGGAGGGAGGCAGACACACAGACAGACAGACAGACAGACAGACAGACAGACAGACAGACAGACAGACACAGAAAATGATTAAGGAAGATAGCCAACATTGATGTCAGGCTTACAGAAAAAGACAGTGACAGAGACAGAAATACAGAAAGATCAAAACAGAGACAGAGAGACAATACGTTGATACCCTGTCAAAATTAAAAGCAATATTTGTGCTTTCAAATCAAATGATTAAGAGATGTCTTAAAGTTAACATGGATTGGCCTAGCATTAGCCATGGTAGACAGCACAGTTTGTGAAGACTGAAAGAAATGGAAAGGGACACTTCAAGGCCAAGGTATGTGCCAAGATAGACACAGGCACCAAACTACCTACCCACTAAGGCTGGAGACTGGAAAATAAGATTTTTATAGAACTGTGACCTCAGTAACATTTTCAGAGAAATAAATTGGACTGGAAAGACGGCTCGGTGGTTAAGAGTGCTTGCTGTTCTTGCAGAGGATCTAAGTCTGGTTCCCCAGCACCCACATCAGGCAGCTCACAACCACCTGTAATTCCAGCTCCAGGAGATCCACCACCCTTCTGGCCTCCACAAACACTCCTGTGCATACGATAACAGACAGATTCACACGCACACACATAAACAAGTAAGTAAATGTGTAGAAGGATCTCTTGAGTAACCTGAGGTTCCCAGAAAGTTATCAACAGAACAAACCAGCTGCCTGACACTCCCATGTCATCTGTGGTGACATGCCTATCCCCAGGCAGGACCCCATCTCCTGCAATACAAGAGTACTCAAGGACTCTCACACCAACAGAAGTCAACAGAATATGGTTTCTCAAATCACAAGGGAGAGGACAGCAACAACCAAAAGCATACAATGGTCATCAAGACAGTAACTCTAGGGCGGACAAGACGGTTTAGCATGCAAAGATGCTTGCTGCTAAAGATGGAGGCTAGACTTGGAAATCACATGGGGAAAGGAAAGAACAGACTCCTGCAAGCTGTTTTCTGACTTCCTAAAGTACACTCCTACATGCAAGAGGGAGAAAGGAAGAGAGAGAAAGACACACACACACACATACACACACACACACACACACACACACACACACACACACACACACACACAGGAGGGAGGGAGGGACAGAGAGAGAGAGAGAGAGAGAGAGAGAGAGAGAAAGTATTCTAAATTGACAGTTTTGCACACCTGGGATCCGAAAAGCAATTGCCAAAACATTATGTAACCAAGAAGCATCAAATAATGCACTTTAAGACAGTGAAAGCATAAATGTCATGTTAGAATGGTTACAGCTAAGCAGCCTGTGATAGTGAATATCATTGTTGGCTTGAACTGTATCTGGAATCACTTAGGAGGCAAAGCTCCAGGTGTCTGTGAAGGAGTTGCTAGACTGGATTACCTGAAGAGGATCTCCTCACCCTAAATGTGTTTGGCACTATTTATGAACTGGGACCTGGGTCTGGGCCTGGATAAAAAGGAGAAAGTGAGCCGAGGACCAGCATCCACCTCTCTCTGCTTCCTGAGTGAAGGTGTGATGTGACCAGTCACCTCAAGTGCCTGTCACATGACTGATCATACAGCCAGACTGTGAGTCAGCACATGTGGGTGTGTATGATTTTCACCCATCTGTGAGGCTGTCATACAGAATATACGGTAGTGAGCACTGCACAGGCATTTAGAAGGAGTGCTTCAAATATTCCACTTCTCTTGTCTTACAAAAATGCTCAAAGGGTGCTGACCTTCAAGCCACATCTTTCACAACCAAGAGCTGATTCCACTGGCAAAGAGGAAGTGCCATCTCGGGCATGTGGTCTTCGAAGAAGTGGTATATGCACACAGGAGGGTCTGAGGGATTAGGACCAGGAGGCTTGCAGAAACAAAGGCTTCCTGTAGCAGCTATGCTGCCTTTTTTCTACTAACAATTTTTTTCTATTATCAGAAAGAAAAGGAATTGTCTTGTTATACTACTCTACATTTCCAAGAAATGAATAGAAAATGATATTTTATTTTATAATCAGAAAATGCTTATATTACTTTTTAGGAAAAGTTTCAAGACTGTCCCTATAAACCAAACAGGCCTTAACTGTGATCCTCCTGCTTCAGCATCCCAAGAAGCTGGAATGGCATATTCCTGCACTACCAGGTCCAGCTAAAAGCAGCTCCTGGAAGGTAATGACCTTAAATGTTGTCTTCTATCTCTAAGTTCCTTGCAGCTGCTCTTGAATATATGCCAATAAAGACACTTAAAATAAAACACGCAAGAGAAAAGAGTCATGCCACTCAAAACAGTTTCTAAGTCCTGAGCCCCAACCTAAGCAAGAAAGATACAGGAATTGGAGCATCTAAGACACACAGAAGCAAACAATAGAATTCAGTCATTCGTTGTGACAAACAAAAACACTTCAGAAAGGTAAACCACGTGTCAGGCCCAAAATGAGATTAAATAACACAAAAACTGTATGTTCAGCACTGGTAATGCTAGCCATGCTGTTGGAACAATAAAGCTGTATACAAAACTTAGGTTTACTCATAACACAACCTGTTAAAATCTGCCACATACAACCCCTCCTCTGCCCTGTGTCCCCAAACAGTCGATTCTCTAAAGGCACGTCCAATGAGCAATAGGCAAACACACACAATGTTTATGAGAGATCTCATAAAGCAACGAAAATATTTATAGCTGATCCATAAACCTCTTAAAACCACAAACATTTTACCAAAGAGACTCTGACAGACCCCACCACCATAAATGAACTAGTGGGAGACATTTCCCCATGATGTCATGAAAACCCACTATGAAAAGCTACTATGAACATTTCACACCTTACAAAGAAAACAGGCATATTCATTAAACAGCCGTCTGATCTCATTTTGTTTTTTTACAGGAGAGCTATCTGTGGACCAGAATATTCCAGCATAAGCATAAAGAGTGTGTCTTATGAAAAGCTGGAACACAAGTGACTTTAGAATAAAAATATAATAAACAAGTGTCCCATCCATCTTTTTCTTAATAAAATCTGGAATTAGCTCACTTCACAATCCGAAGGGAGCCTGGCTTCGCAAGGCTGGATATTAAAGCCTGTAACTGCCACAATACAGGGCTCTGCGAACCAGCAGATACTGCATAAACACAATCTCCCAGAAGACAACCTCTCACATGCTAGGTAACTTTTGAAATTCAGAAAGAGATAGGAAGAAGACATTAAAGCATCTCTAGATATTGGTAGTTCCTCCTACCACCAGAAGAGGAGACAGCACAACTGTGAGCAGCAATCTAAATAACTCAGAAAGGAACTGCAGCTGCTAGTCCACCATGGATCTGACTGAACACACAATTGTAGCCTGAAGTTCAAAGAGGGAGTAGGGTGTGGGGGTGTTAATATTGACCCATGAGAACCAGTTCTGGGGATGAAGGGTAGTCCCTGAATTTTTCTAAGTGTCGATTCATGTTCTCTCAAATAAAAGAGGCCTGCTTCTTTGATATATTCCCAGTGAGAGCCAGGCACAACACTAGGCTGGCTGAGGCAGGAAAACTGTTAAGTTCAAGCAAGCAAGTACAATCACGTAAGTAGACCTGTCTCTTAACACATAGACTATGTATATGGAGAGGACTATATTTAGTACACATAGACATTCTTTGTGTGTGCACATGTATAAGTGTGTTCATCTATGTGAGTATGCCTAAGAATGTGCACATGCAAAGGCCAGAGATCAATGTCAATTGTCATTCATCAGGAGCCATCCACCTTGTTTTTAAGATGGGGGGGTCTCTCACTAGCTCACTAATTAGGATAGTGTGGCGGTCAGTCAGCAAGTCTTCGGGATCTCCACCTGCCTCCCCAGCACCTGCACTGGTGATAAGCACACTGGATCTTTCACATGAGTTCTGGAGCTTGAACTTGGGGCCTCCTTATCTAAGGTCAAGGACTCCTCTGCCTGACCTAGGTCTCCAGCCCTATTATTTTTTTATAATTTGGAAGACTCAGTCCGCTAGTTCTGCTTCCTTCTTTTTACTCAGTGGCTGGCCTTGGCTGCATGTACAACACCACAGGCTCCACTGGGAAAGTACATTGAGCAAGCCTCACAAACCACGTCACGGAACCTGCTTATTATGGCATCCCCACATCGTTCTGCTTGCTTTTGTTCTGACTGAAGACACCCAGAAGTCCAGTCACCATTCCTATATGCCTCAGGGTGCTGCTGGGGTGCTCTGCCTGCTGGGGAGACCTGGGGGTCCTTGGCTATTTGTTTATCTGTCCTTACTTCAGACACACACTCTCTCTATTTCTGGGAGGAGTGTCCTTTCATCTTATCTCAAGAACAGGCTTCACATTTGAGTTATTGATCCCAGCTAAGATCTGAGCTTTCCTTAGGAGAAGCCAAGAGTGAAAGAGAAAAAACTATTCAATTCAATCTCAGCTGGGACAGATCTCATGGAAGACCCAACACTGCAAGGAGTTAAATCAGTCAAAAGCACAGAGTGGACAAAGCACAGAGTGGACAGAGCACAGAGTAGACAGAATGGACAGAGGGGACAGGATGGACAGAACTAAGTGGTAAAGGGAATTCCCTGAAGCTACCAGACAAGTTTTCTGTTCCTTGATCATCAGACAGGACAGTGTTCTCAGCAGAGAGCTATAGAGACGCCTACACACTCACACGTGTCTCTCTCTCTCTCTCTCTCTCTCTCTCTCTCTCTCTCTCTCCCTACAGTCTCATAGTGTTGTCATGTAACAGAGGAAGAAGGAAAAGGAATCTGAGTGGTGTAGGGAGGAGGGAGTCACAATTCTTGATGACTTCAGTGCACCATCTCCAGGACCTGAGACTAAATCCTGCTTCCAAACACACCAACTGCATAACTTCACCTTGCTGTCCAGTTTCCTCATCTGCCAGATGAGACCTGAAAAGCAATCACTTTACTGGGCACTGAAGATTAGGTCAACTAACATGTAAAGGCCTCTAAAGTATGAGCACTTATCAACAGAAACTATGCTTACATGCCTATTGTCCTAATTCACAAGTCCATTTAGAACCCACTGAAGTATTTCAAGTATGCCTTCTTTTGCACATCCAGAAAGTTCAACTGGTTCCAAGCATCCCTAAGCATGTCCCAGTGAGTTGCACAACCAGATATCTTCCTAAATGACTCTAGAAAGAAAGGTATTTCATGTTTCAACAGGTTGAAAAAATAATGACTTGAAGAATCATATTTAACCATGTTATTATAGCTTCAATGCTCAAAACTACATGTGATTTTGAGACTAAAGCCAGTCTGTGTAGTCTATAAAGTTTTAGACTCTCTTTTAAAATTTGTGGCACTATGTTGCACCTGTGAAATCCTAACAATATGCTTACCCACACAAAACCACACCAGCCAACATTCCAGTGTGGGTGGGGGAAGGGCACATAGACCCCACCCATAATTGAAGAGCTACAGGCGGTAGATGGCTCCCGAGAGAGAGTCTGGCTTTTTGTTTCTGGGAAAAGCCCCCCGATAGTTTGCCCATGCACAGATGGTCAGCTACACTCAAGGATATATAGGCAACATTAATGGGACTCAATAGGGTATATAGGCATGTCAACAATAATTATGGATAAAGAAGACATAAATTTGAAAGGCAATAGGGAAACACAGAAGGAGCTGGAGGTAGAAGACGCAGTGGGTATGATGAAAATACATTGTACTCCTGTATGAAATTCACAAGCAAAAAAATTAATTTAGTCTGATAATCTGAAGAAATTGTAGCACTATCAAAGTCTCCTCATCACAAACATAAGGAAATACTGAGAAACAGGGACACAAAAGTGCTTAGCACAGTGGGGAAAGACCTGGATCAGAAGCTGCAAAATGTGAGCATAACTTAGAATTATTTAGCAATCTTCGTATTAAAGATCGGAACGTCTTGTATGATTTAAACCATCCACTACACAAGAGTGAAGAACAAATCATGAATGAGTATCTTACCATGGGTTTTCAGCCTGGAATCCCCCAGACTGTGATATCATTCTGTCAGTAAGAATAATTTCCTGACAGTAGATTATCAGTAATGAGCTTCAGAATCTACTTACGCTGGAGAGAAATATGGCAGCTGTGTGAAAATGAAAACTTATCATTGAAAACGACACAGCCACAGACAGTGATGCGTGCAGAGGATGCACTATTAAAATACAGGAAATGCCCAGGAACTTCCAAATGCAAGATTACTTTACTGAGCAGACATAAAAAGACTAGAGACGGCAGGGGGCCACAGAGGTAGTACCAGAGTGCCTGCCTAGCATACTCAAAGCCATTGGTTCACTCTCCAGTATCATTAAAAGAAAATGCAATTGGGGCTGGAGAGATACCCCAGTCAGTGAAATGCTTGCTGAGGACCTGGGTTCGGATCCCCAGCATCTACATAAGAGCTGAGTATAGTGCTGCAATTCTGATGCTGGGGAGGCAGAGAGAGAAAGAAGATGCCTGAGACTTGCAGGCTGGCCAGTCAAGCAAAACCAGCAGACCCACTCCATTCCCCAGGTTCTTCAGTGGGTGACAGTGCTTGTGGCAGAAGCCTGAGTATGAAAGTTGTCCCCTGACCACCACACGTGACCCACAAACTTCTGCCTGAACTATTATTAATAATCAATTCAGATAAAAAAAAAAAAGGTGGAAAGCACTTGGAAAAGACACCTGAGGTCAAGCTCATGCACATGCTTGTACACAGTAGGGGGCAGGGGAGCAAATCTACAGTTCAACAAAAGAACAACTAGTATGGACCTTCAGCCTTACAGCCAGCACTCAGAAAGGCATTTCCTTTTTTTCTGAAGGGAGCCAAGGTGCCAGCTGTGCTTATAGAAGTTTCTTATTCATTCTTTATGCGTAGAAAAACTAGAGGGAGTGACCTGATGCTGAAGCACATACTACGTTCCTTAGTCCTTTAGATATCCCTTTCTACAGCTTTGCAGGGAAAGAATGGAGAAATCTCATCTAATAAACTCAATGGTGTCAAGCAATTTTTGATTCTATCATTGATTAGTTTGTTCAAAACACGAAAATGGTGCCAGCAAGATGGCTCAGCAGGTAAAGATGCTGGCTCCCAAGCCTGAAGACTGAGTTTAATGCCCACTCCTCCAAGTTGCAGTCTGACTTTTACCTTCCCATATGCACCCTGGCATATAAGTGAACACACATACAAACATACACATACAATCCGTTATTTTAAAGTGAAAACAAACTTGGTAATTTCATTAGTCAATAGTCAACTCTCCCCCTAAGATAATGGGCAACACGTTCTGTATAAGTTCACTGTAACAAATATAAATGATTCATATGGCTTTCTTGCCCTTAGTTAATTTGCTAATATATAAATCATGCAATTCTATTTTCAGAAAAAAGTATCCTTTTAAGATAAACAATTGCATAAATATTTTTAGAGATGCACTTATAAATTCATTAAATATTAAAATCCAATCAAATACAATCTGTTTTTTTGTTTATTCTTTTTTGCTTTTTTATCTAATTACATCACACAAATGTACATGACCTAAATTTTGTTCACACTACACACTTTCCAAAGCCATGCTGCATACTTTGGAGGGTATGTCAGTGTCTTATCCCCCAGCTCTTCTTTTTCTGTTAAAACTAACCTGGTCACTGCTGAGGTGCAACACTGAGGGACGGTACAGTCACTAAATATGAGAGCACCATGACAACTGTTGGGGCAGCACAGATATTTATAGACATTTACTAGCAGAAAGACTTTGAAGTGCTGTGTCACCACACTGTAATCTAGCCCACTCTATATGGTCAATATTAATATTGACTCAAAATCTTCATAACTTGAAAGCTTCTGTATCCGTAGACATACGGCTTGGATAGGATAGCAAATGCCAAGAACTGGTGGTAGATGAGCTCTAGAAATGTGTCCCCATTGTTCTGGAGTATCTCAAGAAAATGATGGTCAAGGAACCAAATTTTCAGAAAAATCACTATGCAGAATCCTACCTGAATCAAGGTCCCCATTCCCATATGCTGGACCGGTTTGCTTTTCCAATGGTGAGGATGAGTTTTGCATCTTGGAAACTGGCAAATGTCTGTCCATACTGATGAGTGTATGTCCTCTTCCCTTAGTTCATCCTGCAGCAAGTTATCTAAGGACAACCAAAAAAAAAAATCAAAGCACTTTAATCAGAGACATCAAATTAACTCATTCAGCACTCTTGAGGCAACAGATCCAGAGCAGAGTGACCACCAACTCATCGTAACATCTCAGAAGTAGGGTGGTGCAGTTGCCAACTGGAAATACCAGGAATTAGGCCAAATGGCAGCACATCTCATCTCTACACAGTGTCAATAGCAAAGGTCACAGCACAGCAAAACTATCTATGTTCTAGAGGTCATTAACACCACTAACATGGACACCTTTTTCACCAACAAGTATAGTCTAAGTACCAATCTACCATGCTGACAGCAGATGGCTCTTGAGCCATCTGTCCCTTGATGCTGTGACTTTGCAAACCCACCTCAGCCTCAGTGTCCCACATGCATGCCTGGCTCTGTAAGAAGTCATCCTGTCTCACAGTGAGTTGGTACTGAGAACAGTTACATAAGCCTTGGCACATTGGTTTGCTTATTTTGACAAATTAGAAATGGGTAAAAATTTCCCCATCATACAATAGCTCTGCCACGCCTCACTTACATTCTGTTATATCTGGGAAGAGAAAGAGGTAAAATTACAGGCGGGTCCCATAGAATCCTACACCATAGTACATTTATACCAGAGCCCATGAGATACCAGGAGCAATGTTTAATAACACCAGCACACTCAGCTCTGGTAGATAGCACAGCCAAGGAGCATTTTTAAAAGTTTGGTTGGTTGATTTTGATTTTTCAAGACAGTGTTTCTCCTTGTAGTCCTGGCAGTCCTGGAACTCCCTCTATAGGCCAGGCTGGCCTGGAAATCAGATCCACCTGTCTCTGCCTCCAGGATACTGGGATCAAAGATGTGCACCACCACCTCCTGCTTCATTTTTAAAACTTTATTCATTTGGGGCTAAGGATGTTGGGAGAGTGCTTACCTAGGGTACATAAAGCTCTAAGGTCGATCTCCAATACCACATAAGCCAGAAGTGATGGTACACACCTGGAATCCCAGCACTCAGCCCTTGGGAGGGCAAGTAGGAGGATCAGAAACTCAGGGTCATCCTTGGCTTCACGGCAAGTTCAAGGCCTGCATGGGGCACGCGTCCTCTCTAAAGTTTGTTTAATTTGTATGTATTTACATATTGTATTATATTTAATTCTTAATTGTATATATAATTTGTATATTACATATGTAATTAAAGTCAGCAAAAAGACAAAACTAGACAAACAAAATAAAGAATATGGTGCATGTATGCCTAGCAGTAGAATAATGTATAGCTCACATGCTGGTAAATGATCCAAGATTATCACCTCCTTAACACACACACACACACACACACACACACACACACACCACATACACATATGCCTACTTCTAGTATTACTAAGTTTTCTTTCCTAGAAAGTAGATCTCTGATCAGCTCTAGGTTCATAAAAAAGTGAATCTGGGAAATGAAGGGGGAGTGAATCTAGAACAGAGAGGAGGTGGGGGGAGCTGGGGGAGTGGAGGGAGAGAAACTGTGGTCCGGATGTTTGTAAGAAAGAAGAATATTTTCAATAAATTACAACCAAAAATATTTGCTACACACACACACACACACACACACACACGCACACACACACACACACTGAATGGGAATCTTTTGTGCAATGGCAAGAAAGGGTAAAACATCTCCGATCATTAGGAAGAGGCTTCCAAGTACCAGACACCCAGCACTGAAACTTAAATCCCTGCGTATTTCTTTATCCACCTGTTGCATCAAAACACACCAAACACTGTTGGGAAAGAGCCCAGGCTATTTCTCAATTAAAATTCAATTGCTCTAGACTAGAAAGTGTAAGATCACCTTAAGTAGTTCATTACACAGTAATCTGGGCATCTTGCTCATGAGTAAACAAATAGGATGATAGTCAAAGATATAAGGCACCTCCAAACACTGGATTATCTTTTTTCATCCGATATTCTCTAAGCACAGAGGCTTGTGTTTAGGAAGCAAACATAAGGATATGTGACCAAGGAATAAGAGTCAACAGCAGTGATAACACAAAAAGAAAGGAACAAGTTAAATCAAAGGCTGGGGAGATGGCTTAGTTGCTAAACATTTGCTATGTGAGCATGAAGACTGAGCATGAAGACTGGAGTTCAGATACCCAGAACCATGATAAACACTGGGTGCGCATGGCAACATGCACATAATCCCAGTCACAGAAGGTAGAGAAAGGGGACTCCAGAGCAAGCCGGCTGGCATGGTAAGCCTCCTTACAGAGCTCTGGGTTTATTTGAGTGACTGTGACTCACCGAATGAATAAGGTGGAGAAGGATTGACTGTGATCCCTGACAACCTTGGGCCTCCACTTTCTCACCACACACCATGAAGCTATGAGCCAGAATGAAACTTCCTTCTGTTTTGCTTGTTTTGTTTTGTTTTCCCCAAGTATTCTGTCACAGCAATGGAAAGCTGACTAACAGAGAGGCAGAATAAAAACATGAAACTGCAGACAATGGTTAAGGCTAAAACTAAAGCAGTGAAGGAAGAAAGAAAACAAGCTCAAGAAGCATTTGAAAGGCATAATCAACAGAACAAAGTAGAAATAATACTAACAAAATACAATCTTTTCACAGCATGTAGCCACTGAGTCTAGAATAAATCACTATGCAGCCAGCTCTCAGCCACTAATATTGCCCATGGAAATAGATCATTCTGGGGGAAACCTATTAAATATAAGAATGGCACACTACTTCACAAAAATTTCTATTTACTCTCCTTTTTTAAAGTCTATTTTATTTTAAATGGGATGGGAGGTCGAGTCTTGGTGACAATTGATTGATCCATTAAGCTTAGCAAAATAAAGATGGGGTATTTTAGGCTGGAGATTAGTTTACTACTTAAGTGTTCCTTAGCATGTGGGACACTCCGGGTTCCACCCCAACTCTTCACAGAAACAAAATAAAAGACAGACACACACACACACACACACACACACTGGAGCCGCAAGAACTCATGCATGCACTCACTCACTCACATGAAGATATTTTGCTTAAGCTTTTGTTTGTTGTTACTTTTTACACAGGATCTCATAGAACCCAGATGGGCCTCATATTCTCTATGTAGCCAAGTCTGGCATTGAACGTTTGATCTTCTGGCCTCTATGCACCAAACACTAGAATTACAGGCATGTTGGCCATGCCTGGTTGGTAACAGGGTATCTTTTTTTTAATTTATTTATTTATTATGTATACAACATTCTGCTTCCATATATATCTGCACACCAGAAGAGGGCACCAGATCTCATAACGGATGGTCATGAGCCACCATGTGGTTGCTGGGAATTGAACTCAGGACCTCTGGAAGAGCAGTCAGTGCTCTTAACCTCTGAGCCATCTCTCCAGCCTGGTAACAGGGTATCTTAAAAAAGAAATCCTCTTCCTAACAAACTCTCACCTCCAACCCACAAAAAAAGAGCTATTTTTAAAGGAAGCATATTTCCTTTTCAGTGAGAGAGAGCGAGCATGCAAGAGAGTACCCTCATCTATAAATCCTCCACTAAGCTACACTCCCAAACCTTTTGACTCCTATTTTTAAATAAACTCTATAATTTCAAAGCCAAAGTTAAAAGTGTCTATTAAAATGTAGCAGAATTCTTTTTTCCAAAGACATATAATGAAAGTTCAGCAAGCTGTGCTTCCAAAGGGGAACTTCCTTTACTTACCATAAACCTAGGCAACACAACTGGCTCCTCTCACCTCCAAAGCAGAGGAGTCCCGGAACTACAATATGGGAACTTACTGGGAAAGTCTTCTTGGCTCCATGAAAAGAGCCATTAACTTGAATATAGAGTAACTAAGTCATCATCAAGCTGTGGGACATAAATTAACCTTTCTATGCCTCAAATTTCTCATCAGTTAAATAAGAGGTTTGATTACGTGCAATCAAAGATCCTTTTCAACTCTAAAAGGCCGAGATTCTATGATGCCTCTTCAGTATTAATCGTGTATTTTCTCCATCAGACTATCATTTCATCTGAATCACATTTAATACAATAAACCTTACCCCCTCCCTTAGCCTCATTCAGCCTCTTCCCTTTATTTGGGGTGTACTTACAGAATACAACTAATTCTGGCATGAGACAAGCAAAACTTTGTCAGGGAGAAAATGAATATAGAAGGACACTCACTGGATGTTATCAGAAAACTCTAAAATCAGAAGGATGGTATTACCAATTTTGAGCGTCAACACCATCCAAAGGAACTTTCTATACCTGCCTGGTGACACGGTACCCACCAGCCCCATGTGGCTACTGACACACAAAATATAGCTAGTGTGACTAAGGTTCTGGATTTTAATTTCAGCAATTTGGGATTTAGGGGAAGGAAGATTTGAGACGGGGTCTCACGTATCTCAGGTTAGTCACAAACTATGTAGCCAAGAATGACACCGAAATTCATGAATCTCCTCCCTTCATCTCCCAAGTACTGAGATTGTGGGTGTGTTCCACAGGGCTTAATTACAGCAAATTGATATTTAAATATCTGGAGTTGGGGGAAAACTAAGTTAATCAAGTGCTTGCCTTACAAACATGAAGGTCTGCTAGGAAGCAATCTCCAGATGGTGTTTAAAAGAAAAGTCGGGCACATGGCACTTATACAATCCCAGCACCACAGAAGCTGAGACAAGCAGACCCTTGGAGCTTACCAACCTGAGACCCTTTCTCAAAAAACAAACAAGTCATGCAGTGGTGGCTCATGTCTTTAATCCCAGAACTTGCAAGGCAGAAATAGGTGGATATCTGTGAGTTCAAGGCCAACCTGGTCTACAGAGACAGTTCCAGGACAGGCTCCAAAGCTACACAGAGAAACCCTGTCTCAAAAAATCAACCAAACAAATAAGGATAGGTAGATACAGGGAAGGGATGGGCTCAGACTGGAGACTGGACTGGGTCTGGAAGCTGAGAAGAAAAGCTCTTTAAACTCCTAGGAATTTTGCAGGTTGAGAACATTGCCTGACAG